ATGTACATATATATATATATATATATATACCCTTAATGTTCACTTACTTTTGCATTATATTTTATATATTAGGCAGGATTGAACTTTCGCTTTTTAAAACAGCCAAGGTCAAGTAAAATCTGATTAGATAAGGTTGCCTTTCAATATAATAAAAGAAATATGAAGTAAGTGAATATGATCACACAAAAAGTAAAAACACATTATATACTGATATTTACACCAGTTTTATTATTTTTCATTCAACCCGGCTTTATAAAAAATCACTATATGAATTAGCATAGTATTTCCTATAAGATCCTATAGGAATTTTTGTAATGGTCTGAACATAAATTAAAATTTAAAATTATATACTGATATTTAGACTAGATTTATAATTTTTATTCAACCCGCCCTGATAAAAATTCCCTGTATGAATAAGCATAGAATTTCCTATAGGTTCCTATAGAAATTCCTATAAGATTCCCAATCGGAATTTTTGTTCAGCGTCTGAACATAGATTAAAAATCAAAATCATAAACTGATATTTAAAGCAGATTCATTATTTTTCATTCAACCCGGCCTTATAAAAATTCCCTATATGAATTAGCATAGGATTTCCTATAGGTTCTTATAGAAATTCCTATAAGATTTCCTATAGGATCCTATAGGAATTTTTGTAATGGTCTGAACATAAATTTAAAAAATAATTTCAGCTTCAATGATTTGGTACAAAAACATTCCTAATGGTAAAATATTTCTCCATAAAATATTACTTTACAAATGATCAATTTTTTCAAGATTTCTTTAAAATAGAAATTAAAGAATTTCTATAGTATCCTATCGAAGATTGTGCATTATTAACAATAAAAAGCAATTGCTTTAATAGTGATATATAATTGACAATTCAATAAAATTGACCTATATCAAATATCTATTGTTTAGAAAGATATTTGTTTATAAGATATGCATTTTTCTCAAGATTTTAACTTACAACAATTTCCTTTAGGATCCTATAGGAAATCCTATTGAGGGTGTACTGACAGAATTCCATGGCAGTGGTGTCACATCCCGTATATAAGTGTTTTGCCCAGGGATATATGTCATTAATTGGACACAGATTTTGAACAGCATGCACGCAACATTGTGCAATTGGCACACCTAACACAACAATGAACATGCTTTATATAGGGGAGACCGGGACTAGTTGGCCCAGTTAGACACTTTTGGCCTTGTAGAGCCAACTAGGAATGGGTTAGAGTAACAAAACCGGTCTCAAGGTAAGCCCCATGAACTAAGCTATAATGCCAGATGGCTCAAAATTTGACAAAAATCGCAGTTGACATCAAGGGGGCCAACTTGCCCCGCCAGGGTCGGGGCAAGTTGGCCCCCCTATACGAAAATGAAGTATATATCCCATGTAAACGCCTTGAAATACGTTTTTATAAATTTTTTAAATTGGTTTTTGAGAGTCTTTGATGAATAAATAGTTCAAATGAGGCAGATTTATTGAGGTTTCCGTACGTCACGTTGTTGGGGGG